TATATCTCACAAAAACATAAATGTGTGCGTGTACACACACACGAGAGAGAGAGAGAGAGAGAGAGAGAGAGAGAGAGAGAGAGAGAGAGAGAGAGAGAAAGAAAGAGAGAGAGAGGGGGAGAGCGAAAGAGAGCGAGAGATAGAGAGAGAGAAAGAGAGAGAGAGATGGATAGATATATAGAGAGACAGACTTCAGCAAGGGCATCAGATAGGGCAAGGAAATGGGCGGCAAGAAGACTCCGCGCCATGTTCAAGGTCGCATGCTCAATGTTATACCACAACACCTGCAAACATGAAACATCAAAAGTCACCACACTCAAGACATGTGCATATCGTTCAACGTTGCCCGCATGGCGCTATTCAGAAATTACGGTCGCGCAGAATTGACGCATTGTTTGGCAAGGAAGTAAATTGTGCAGCGACGGCGAAACGGGCATCAATGCGCATGCGCACGGCATTCACACTAGCACAGACCGTGCGTTCATCGGAGCGCCTTGTAGCGCAGCGTTTATTGATATGTTTTACCAGCTCTAATTTGCAAAAACTCGGCTTTAATTTTTACAATAGACAACGTAACATTCGTTACAATAGAATACATTCGGCGCGAGCGTATAATAGTAACCGAGCCGGATGTACATGGAGACGATTACAAATTACGTTTAATAAAGATCTTGGCGCCAGAGAAGCCATTTAAAAAGATCGTTATTCTGTTGCTGTAAAGCATAAAGAAGAGACAAATGCTGTCGAACGCATATCTTCATATATATATTATATATATATTATATATATAATATTATACACACACAATATATATATATATATATATATATATATATATATATATATATATATCATTATGCACGCACCATCGTATTGTTTATACACAGCGCGTACAGATAACTACGTACGTGTAAATTATATATTAGGCATAGTAGTCATGTTATATAGTACAAATAGTTATTGAGACAAATCTGCATACGTAATGCGCCCGCATAAAACTACGAATAAAACTAGACTAGTAGACGAATAAAACGTTGCTATACATAAAATGATTGCTTATCACAAAGACAATCACGAATATCGAAGCACATCGAAAGCAAGACGAAATAAAGTGCATTACGCGAACTTGGAGTCGACACGATGTGATGAGTTACATTTTTTGTATTTTAGAATATTTATCTTTATTAGTGGAAACGAACCAATTACGTTTAGTATTTGCCGGCGAGGGAAAGAGGCGACTGAGCATGCATGCACAAGCTGCCGCGTCGCGCACGTAAACGCGCCTACACGCTATGGAACGAGTCCTATTCAGCAATGAAACATTCCTGGAAGCTGGCGCGGGGAGGAAGATTGAAGGAATGAAGGGGGAAGCGCGCGCAAAATAGAGGGAAGGGTGTGGCGTGTGCGTGTGCGTGTGCGTGTGCGCGCGCGTAGGAGCGTGTGCTTGTGATAGAGAGCACTTCGTTCTATATGCAAATGGAAAGCATCCGATTTTGCTCACGCTGAACTCTTGCTCTTGCTCTCGCAAGCGGCCTTGCTCGCGTTTTGGCCACACCTACCTGTACCGATATTCACGCGATTCGGTTCGTTATACCTCGCCCGCGGTAATCTATCTGTCAAACGCTCCAGCGCCGTTGCTCGGCAACTTTTGTACTGGTGACGTTTGTGGGGGAAACGTCGCATCTCGTGATCGAGTTTCAGACATGAAAGAGGCGCGGCCGAGGTCTGAGACGTCAAGCGAACAAAGATGGCGCCTGATGATGTACGTCACGGCGCGTCTGCACGGCAGACGACCACGCCTCTCCCTCTTCACCGATTCTCTCTTTCTCTCTTTCGCTCTCGTGCTCCCTACCTCTGTCGTTTTCTCATTCGTTTCATCTCAGGCGCTCTCCTGTCCAATGTCTTTCACTCCTCTTTCTTTCTTTCCCTATTTCTATCCTTCCTATATCTCTTTTCCACATCTCTCTCTTTTTCGCTATTTCTTTCTCTCTTTCTCTCTCTTTCTCTCTTCATTTTCTCACTCTTTCTTACACCCCATCTTTCCCTCCCTTACCTTCTTTGCTCGCCTTTGTCACTGAGCGGGCGCAGCAGCAGCGTGTTTACCCTCCGCATCTCTTCAACAGCAGCGCTGCAGCCTACTGCCAAGACACGCTAGCTTCGTTTACGTAACAATGAAGGACAGGCTCAAAGCATCCAGATGATAAAGGAGCTCACGAACGCAAGCTGCAGGCGTGCGTGCAAGCCGCCTTACCCGGCAGCTGCAGTCCGCACGCGTGTTTCTCTCTCTTTCTCTCAATCTTTCCTCCGCACACACACACACACACACACACACACACACACACACACACACACACACACTCGCTTTCTCTCTTTTCCTTTTCTTTTATCTCTCTCGCGCCCTTCTCTCTGTCTCGCTCATTGACTGTCTCTTTTCTGTTTTACCACCCCTCTCTCTCCATTCCACTCTTTCTCGTCCTCCGTCACTCACTCGTGTACGCTTTCTTTTCTTTCTGTCTCCAGTCTCTCTCTCTCTCTCTCTCTCTCTCTCTTCTCATCTGCGTGCGTGCTCATTATGCTGCGAATTGAGCTCCCGCCGGTGTACGAATGTCCGAGCGCCTCGGCGCTAAACCCAGAGAAAGAGAGAATCCCCCGCTTACGGCAACTCGGCCTCTCTGTCTTGCCGAAAACAAAAGAACGCCTCATTTCTTCCCGAGCTACTTGACTGCGCGCACGATAAAGGGATGCGCTCGGAGATCAGCAGCGGCGGCAGCTGATGTTGCGGGGCGCTGAAGGGAGTCACTGCGACGCAGATAACAGATGCTATACACCTCGCTTTAGAGGGGCTCCAACGACGTCACCTTCACTCCAGCGCCAGCTTAACAACACACACACACAGACACACAGACACATAGACAGACACACACGCGCGCACACACACACACACACACACACACACACACACACACACACACACACACACACACACACACACACACACACAC